CAAGGCTGCGTGCGGTACCATCAAGGCTGGATTCTTACTTGAAGCTTGAAGTGTTGGAACTTGATGGATGCGAGAACCTGAGGGAGTTGCCTGAATTTCTGCCACAATCTCTCGAGGTTCTACATATTGGAAACTCCAGAAACGTCACACCTCTACCAAATGTCACCGTGCTGCCAAAGCTGAGGAAGCTGAACCTGAGACTGGTTGAGGTGGTTTGGGGCGTGACAGTCAGCAAGAGCTTATCTCGTCTGGAGGATTTGTACCTGGCATTGGGCAACGCGAAGAAGCTTCCGTTCCCATTGACTTACCTTTCCGAGCTTCGTTCCCTGATGGTTGGGAGTGCTTGGAACGTGGAGTTCCTTCCGGATTTTGGGTCCTCGATGGTGCAGTTGCGACAGCTGCGCATCCACTATGCGAATGAGCTGAGGGAGTTGCCAGCAAGTATCGTGGATCTTCCGCGCTTGACGACTCTGGAGGTTCATGCCCCTAAGCTGGCTTCTCTTCCTGAGAATCTGGGTGCTTTATCCAGGCTGCTGGACTTGAACCTATCCGAATGCTCCTCTCTTGAGCATCTGCCTGCTACTCTGACCCAACTCTCCTTTCTGTGTTGCCTGGATGTATCAAAAAGCCTGATCCGCTTGCTCCCGCCTGGGTTTGAGCAGCTACCCAGGCTTTGTTGGCTTTAGCTGCGTGGCTGCAAGCAGCTGGAATCCCTGCCTGAGAATTTTACCAAGCTCACGATGCTGCGGGACCTGAACGTCAAGGAGTGTTCGAAATTAATTGATGCTGAAGGATTTGTGCGTCCTCGTGGCATTTATAAGATGAAAGGGTTGGGAATATTTAGTTAGTTTGCCTGCATTAGCCCAAGCTGTTTGCTGATGTTCCACATTGTTGAAGCTATTTCTTGCAAAACTTTTTCTGTTATTACAACCTACATGAACATCCTTGGTGTGTGTTGTTTAGTGTGATTTGGGCCAAACGTGTGGATACGTTCATGTAGTGGGTGCTGTTATGAGTTGTGAAAGGAAGAGTGCGCAGAACTCAATAATACGGAAGTGATTACAACGTCTGAGAACACAACGAGGCCTAGGACTAATATTGCGAAGCTAGCTAGGCCGAGGTTGCGGGGTCGCGAGATGGTTGGGTGCAGGTTCGGGGTTGGGAAACCCGAAGGCGACGCGGTAATGGCTCGGAAGGCGAGGTCGGCGGACCGAGCTTGGTTTTCCGAAAGTCGGGGTTGTACGCGTACAGTGTGACCCAGTAAGGAATCCGAAAAATTCCTTACACTACCCCCCCCCCTTTGTCAGAACATATAGCTTACTTATTTGTGTAGGCTATAGTGGGGTATCCCATAGGGGGTACAACCCAATTAGGGTTTCCCATTTGTACTCACTTCGTTCATAGTCATTCCATTCTCGTTAAAAAAAAAAGGATTCTGAGATGGTATCAGAGCGGTCTCGGGCTCGAATCCCGGTGTATGCACATGTTGGCCGTTGCCACTGTGCTTAGTCCTGGGCCTCCCAGTGTGGGGGGGTGTCAGTAGAGCTACACTGTGAGATCCCCGATCGATCCTAGGGGGGGTTACAGGCGCGTTTGCCTGGGGGGTTATGGGCGCATTGACCCGCTACTGAAACAAGCCCTTTTATCCCAATGGTCTAATGGTTGGGATTCTGAGACCCTTAAGAAAGGTGGTGAATATCCGAGACACCTCGGCGGGCCAGGTAAGCATCCACAACCGGATGTCCCAGTAGCGAGTCAGCGACGACATACGTGTCGTCCTCCCTCGTGCGTTCTTTCCAGCGAAGCAGGAATTTCACTGAGCGGCCGGTGGCAGTCACGTCCACGCGATGGTTGAGAATCTTCCAAGGTTCCAGCGTGGGCTCTGCCACAGGGCGTGTGGTCGGCGTGATGGTTGGCCGAGCAACAGCTGGCGACTGCGGCTGTTCGTAATGACGCAACAGGCTGACGTGGAATGCGTCATGTATTTTCCAGTCGTCGGGCAGCAGCAGCTTCGCGGTGACAGGTGTCACCATCTGGATGATACGAAATGGTCCCACGTATCGGGGCCGTAGTTTCGCGGGCTGCGGCAGCCTGAGATTCTTGGTGTCCAGGAGCACAACCTGCCCTGCGCGGAAGGGTAAATTCCGTCGATGTTTATCCGCCTGGCGACTGGCCGTGGTATTAGCCCTACGAATGAAATCAGCTGCTTTCGTGCGGGCGGTCTGCAGCTCCGTGACAAACTGCTGCGATCTTGGTACCGGGTTTTCCACAGTCGTTGAAGAGGGTACCACGGGGTCCATCCCGTAATTCAAGAAGAAGGGTGATTGTTTAGTCGTGGCCGACGGGGCGTTGTTGTATGCGAATTCCAGCATCGGCAGTGAATCCTCCCATTTGCGAATGTCGGGGCAGTTGGTGCGAATCAGTTGCTCCATGGTCTGATTTGTCCGTTCCGTCTGTCCGTCGGTTTGCGGGTGGTATGACGACGAAAACTGCAGGCGGGTACTGTACTGTGCCCACGTCTCCTGACGTAAATTTCGGGTCACGATCGCTGATGATCGCCGAAGGTAACCCGTGTAAGCGTACGACGGTGGAGATGAACAATTTGGCTGTATCTTCGGCTGTGATCGTCGTTCGACATGGGGCGAAATGCGCCATTTTCGTTAGGCGATCGACGACGACCATTACCGAGTCGTTGCCACTCGTGCCAGATGGGAGCCCCGTGACGAAATCCATCGTCACCTGTTGCCACGGTCGTTCGGGTGGCGCGAGGGGTTTGCAGCAGTCCGGTTGGCCTTTGTCGCGACGACTTCATTGCTTGGCAGGTCGGGCAAGTTGACACGTAGCGCTGCACATCGGTGTGCATGTCCGGCTAGTAATAATTCCGCTGCAGCAGCTTCAGTGTTTTGTCGGTGCCGAAATGCCCGGAAAGGTTGGAGTCGTGAACCTCCTGTGTCAGCAGCTCCCGTAAAGGTCGGTATGCTGGTACCCAAATCCGGTTCGTACCGGCTTTTAGGTAGTACTTGCCGTACGGTGTGGCGGCCTGTTGTTGCGGGTTCCGAAAAAACCTGTCGATCTTGTAGCCGTGGGGGAATAGTCCCGTCAGCATCGGGTTGGTGTGGGCGATTAGTACCGCCGCGTTTTGCATGGATGGCCTGGTGAGGGCATCGGCAATGTTGTTGGCGCCTTTCTTGTACGTGATGGTGTACTGAAAATTGGACTCGAGAAAGTCCAACCACCGGATTTGTCGCGGGTTGAGTGTCGATTGCGTGCGCATGTACTGTAGCGATTTGTGGTCGGTCCGAATTGTCACGTCGGCTCCCGTGAGATAGCAGCGCCAGGTACGAAATGCGTGGACGATGGCCAGCATCTCTTTGTCGTGGACTGGGTAGTTGCGCTCGGGTGGCTGCATCTTGCGTGACTCGTAGGCGATGGGTTGCAGCCCTTGGCCGAAGTCCTGTAGCAGGACGGCGCCGACGGCGAAATCGCTGGCGTCCGTGACGACTTCGAACGGTCGAGATGGGTCGGCGAGGCGGAGTACCGGGGGCGAACCCAAAATGTTTTTGAGGGCGTCGAAGGCGGACTGCTCCCTCTCCCCCCACCTGAAATCACTGTTGTGGTGCAGCAGGTCGGTCAGCGGCTTGGTTATCCCTGCCGTATTAGGTACAAAACGGCGAACGTAGTTAACAAACCCCAGAAAACTTTGCAACTCAGGGATACAAGTAGGCGGCTTCCACTTAACGATGGCGTCTGGCAAATTATAATGTTGTCTAGGCTTTAGTGGGGTAGCCCATATGGGGTACACATTTCTAGGGTTGCATATTTGTATCACTTTCATTCCATAGTCATCTCATTCTCGTTCTAATTTCCTCATGGTATCGAGCAGGTTCCCCCGTGGGAACTGTGCCTAGGGCCCACCACATCGAGTTTTTTTTTCCTGCCCCGAGCGCGCTCAGCCCGAGTCGCGCTCCGGGCTCTCACTTCGTCGAGCCGCCCTAGCGGCCCCAACGCCCTAGCGGCCCCGCAGCCCGTCGAGTCGGCCCCGCCGCCCTTCGCTGCGGCCCCGCCGCCCTTCGCTGCGGCTCCGCCGCCCTTCGCTGCGGCCCCGCAACCCTTCGCTGCGGCCCCGCCGCCCTTCACTGCGGCCCCGCCGCCCGTCTCAGCGGCCCCGCCGCCCTTTGCTGCGGCCCCGCCGCCTCTCTCGCTGCGGCCCCGCCGCCCTTCTCAGCGGCCCCGCCGCCCTTCGCAGCGGCCCCGCCGCCCGTCTCAGCGGCCCCGCCGCCCTTCGCTGCGGCCCCGCCGCCCTTCGCTGCAGCCCCGCCGCCTCACATTGCGGCCCCGTCGCCTAACACTGAGGCCCCGCCGCCCGTCTCAGCGGCCCCGCCGCCCTTCGCTGCGGCCCCGCCGCCTCTCTCGCTGCGGCCCCGCCGCCCTTCTCAGCCGCCCCGCCGCCCTTCTCTGCGGCCCCGCCGCCTCTCTCACTGCGGCCCCGTCGCCCTTCTCAGCAGCCCCGCCGCCCTTGACGGCGGCCCCGCCGCCCTTCACTCCGGCCCCGCCGCCCCTCCCACTGCGGCCCCGCCACCTACCTTACGGTCCCGCCGCCCTACCAGCGGCCCTACCGCCCTACACCGCCCGCGCCGCCCGAGCCGCCCGAGCCGCCCGAGCCGCCCGAGCCGCCTGAGCCGCTGAGGAGCCGAGCCGCCCGAGCAACCCGAGCCGCCCGACCTGCCCGAGCCGCCCGAGCCGCCTGAGCCGCTGAGGAGCCGAGCCGCCCGACCCGCCCGACCCGCCCGAGCCGCCCGAGCCGCCCGAGCCGCCCGAGCCGCCTGAGGAGCCGAGCCGCTGGTGCCGCGGAGCCGCAGTTGCTGCTGAGCCGTCCGAGCAGACGTGTTGCCGTGTTGCTGTGCTACTGAGCTGCACGAACCGCCCTGTCTGGTGAGAGCAGCGCTTCTGTCACTGCACTGCCCCTGTCCTACAGTTGGTACTGCTAGTCTACTGTTGTCATGGCTACCCCTAGTGTCCTCGTGTTTGACGCTAAGGGTCGAGCCATTGACTTTGAGGTCTGGGTCGACGACCTGCAGCTGTTCTTACAGTGCGATAGGGCAGACGGTCTCTCTCTCTTTGACCTCACCTCTGGCGCCTCTCCTGCCCCTGCTGCTGATGCTGACCCCACTGTTCGCTCCCAGTGGGCCACGCGCAATGCTGCTGCACGTCTTGCTGTGCGTCGCCACTTGCCTACCACTGAGCGCGCGCACTTTAGTCAGTACAAGAGTGCTCAGACCTTGTACGACGCTGTAGTTGCGCGCTACTCTTCCCCTGCCACTGCTGCACTGAGCCGCCTCATGCTACCGTACCTCTTCCCTGACCTTGCTGCCTTTCCCACAGTCGCTGACCTCATTACGCACCTCCGCACTAGTGACACTCGCTACCGCGCCGCGCTTCCTGCTGAGTTCTGTGCCAAGAACCCACCCCCCATGTACATCACTCTCTATTTTATAGTCACCCGCCTCCGTGACTCCCTTCGTGTAGTCAGGGACCACTTCCTCTCATTCTGTCCCACCACTCTCACTGTTGACCTCTTAGAGAAGGCCCTCCTAGCAGCGGAGAAGAGCATAGTCGCTGTAGGAGCCTCTCGTGGTGACCCTCACACCCCCAGCTTTGAGGGGTGTTCTCCTTCCCCCCTTTTGCCCTCTGTCGCCTCTGCCGCTGCGACCGACCTTGTTGGTCTTGAGTCGGTCGGTGCGGCGTCTGCCCCTAGCGGGAGACGCCGCTCTGGCAAGGGCAAGGGGGGCAAGGGCGCGGGTGGAGCTAGCGGGGGCGGTGGAGGTGGCGGTGGAGGCGGCGGAGGGAGTGGGGGTGGCGGTGGGAGTGGTGGCGGGGGTGGAGGTGTCGGTGGCAGCAGTGGAGGCGGAGGCGGCGGAGGCGGCGGCGGTGCTAGCGGAGGCGGCGGTGGTGGCGGAGGTGGAGGAGGCGGTGGTGGAGGAGGTGGCGGTGGTCAGGGTGGCGCTTCGCAGCGGAGCAGCCCTGGTGGTGGTCAGCGCCAGCAGCAGCAGCAGCAGCAGCGTTCTCGAAACATTCCCCCCCCTCAGCAGCTCCGTGAGTGGTACGCGCAGCGTCAGCGTGGTGGGGGTTTTGGTCCGTGCACCTACGTCCTTCACTCCAGCGACCGCGCGGGTGAGCAGTGTGGGGGTGCCCACCCCACCCAGCGCTGCTTTGGCCGCCTGACGGACGCTTGACGTCAGCAATTCCCGGAGGCCTGTGAGATCCTCCGCTGGGGAGAGCTTTCTAGGGCAGGCGTAGCTATCTATGATCTTGACTTTGATGCTATCCTTGCTGCCATGTATGCTGTGACTATTAGTGATGAGGGTGACTGTTACCGGTGTTTCTTGCCCGACCTGGGCATTGGTACTGCTGCTCTAGGTGCTGGTGAGGCTGCTGCTCTAGGTGCCAGTGCGTCTGCACCCTCAGGTGCTGGTGAGTCTGCTCTCTCAGGTACCACGTCGGCTTCGGCCTCCCTCACCTTCACACTTGACTCAGGGGCTTCTCGCTCCTTCTTTCGAGACCGCACCACACTCACGCCGCTTGGTCGGCCGGTTGCAGTCTCCCTGGCTGACCCCTCTGGGGGTCCTGTCCTCTCTCACTTCTCCACTGTCCTCCCGTGTCCGGCTGCCCCCTCTGGCACCTTGTCTGGTCTTTACCTCCCCTCGTTCTCTACGAACTTGGTGAGTGGTGCTGACCTGCAGGATACGGGGGTTCACCAGTTTACTCCTGCGAGTCAGCGGGTGACCCACTGCTCGGACGCTCGCACAGGCCGGCACCTGGCCACGTTTACGCGTCGGGCGGGGTCTAGCCTCTACACCCTGACCACTGGGTCTCCTCCTGTCCCTGCGTCTAGCCAGGTAGCTGCGTCGGGTCAGGTGTTTCCTGCAGCGTCCAGGTCTGGTCCTGAGTCTGCCCCCTGCTCGTGTCGCCTCCTGTCTCACGAGACTCTCCTGTGGCACCACCGTCTTGGTCACCCCTCCCTGCCTCGTCTCGGAGGCATGGCTTCCCGTGCCCTTGTCTCTGGTCTCCCCCGGTCCCTCCCTCCCCTTCCTCCAGGGCCTGGTCCTTCCTGTGTTCCCTGTGTCGAGGGGCGGCTCCGGGCTGCCCCTCACTTCTCTCAGTTTCCCCCGACAGAGGCCCCGCTGCAGACGCTTCACATGGACGTGTGGGGCCCGGCCCGCGTCCGTGGACAGGGTCACGAGCGCTACTTCCTGCTGGTGGTTGACGACTACTCGCGTTACACCTCAATCTTCCCCTTGCCCAGCAAGGGTGATGTCACTGAGGTGTTGATCGACTAGATCCGCGCAGCTCGTCTCCAGCTCAGGAGGAGCTTCGGCTCGGACTTTCCTGTTCTGCGTCTGCACTCTGACCGAGGCGGAGAGTTCTCCCCTGGCCTTCTGCGAGCCTACTGCCGTGCGCGAGGCATCCGCCAGACCTTTACGCTTCCGGACTCTCCACAGCAAAATGGGATTGCTGAGCGCCGCATTGGCATGGTCATGGACGTTGCCCGTACGTCCATGATGCATGCGGCTGCCCCCCATTTTCTGTGGCCGTTTGCGGTTCGGTACGCGGCGCATCAGATCAACCTTCACCCCAGGGTCTCCATGCCGGAGACCTCCCCAGCTGTGCTGTGGACGGGGAAGGTAGGCGATGCGTCTGCGTTCCGTGTCTGGGGATCTCGGGCGTTTGTCCACGACTTGTCTGCGGACAAACTGTCCCCTCGTGCTGCTCCTTGTGTCTTCCTTGGCTTCCCCCCTGACGCACCAGGGTGGCAGTTCTACCACCCCTCCTCTCGTCGTGTTCTGTCCTCCCAGGACGTCACATTTGACGAGTCGGTCCCCTACTACCGTCCCTTCCCCTACCGCACTCCTTCCCTCCCCCCGCCGCCGCACTTCCTTGTGCAAGGTCCCCCCCAGGTAGACCCCCTCCCCCCTAAGGGTCCTGCCCCTTCAGGTGTGTCCCAGGTAGACGCCCTACTTTAATCACCCTACTGACACTGTTCGGCCCCAATATGATATTTTCCCGAGCAAAAGGGCCTCGTACACGCTCGAATTATCCCCTAGAGTCTAGATTGATGGCATAACGGGGGTAGGTGTTACGGGTGCAATGAGTCGAAGTAGCAAGAATTGCACTAAGGTGTCAAACGAGTACAAAATGTGAGCGAAGGCATGAGCGAACATTTATACGCGAAACATGCAAACGGTAACGCGGTGCGTGCGAGCTAGCTAGTGCTACGCTGGAGCGAGGCTCGGGCTAGTCCCGAGGCGTAGGCCGACACGGCCATGCCAGCAGTGCGAGGTTTGGTGAAACATTGTGCGCGAAGTCGGCGAAGCCCCGTTAGCAGTAACGGGCGAACAACGGCTGTTGCTGTACGCGATGTAGTCGGGCTCCGTAAGGAATGTCGAGAAAATTCCTTACACTACCCCCCCCCCCTCAAGAAACCCCATCCGCTACGTGAGTGCATGTATATCGCGGAATCCCCGGCTCCTAAGGTACACTTGCAGGGCAGGGTGGTTTTCGATGTTGGCCAGGGGCACCCAGCTGTCCTCAGTTGGCGTGCGATCCTTCCAGCGGACGAGGAATTCAATCCTCTTGAGTCCCGTGGGGTGTCGAATCCGATGGCTCACGATTTTTTTGGGCTCGATGATCGGCTCCGATGCAGGGCGAGTCATGGATGGTGGGCGGTGGCGAGGCAGTTGGCTTGTGGTTGTGATGTAGGGGCGAAGCAAGCTGACGTGGAACGAAGGGCTGATGTACCAGTCGGTCGGTAACAGTAGGTGCGCGGTTACTGGCTTGATCATGTGGCTGATTTAGAATGGGACACAGTAGCGTGGTCGAAGTTTTGGTACGTCGGGCAGTCGCAGATTTTGCGTGTCGAGCAGTACGTAATCCCCTGACTGGTATGTGACTGGGCGGCGGTGGCGGTCAGCGATGCGCTTAGCGATGGCGTTTGCTTTTTTAATTGCTTCTGCGGCTTTGGTGCGGGCGGCTTGCAGAATTTTGGCGAATTGCTGTGCTCGTGGTGTTGGGTTGTCCGGACTCGGCGTCATGGGCACTGTAGGATTTTGCCAGTAGTTCAGGTAAAAGGGGGACTGCTGCGTCGTCGCTGACGTGGCATTATTGTACGCGAACTCGATCAGCGGCAGCTGCTGCTCCCAAGTCGTGGGGTCGTCGCACGTGGCACGAATCAACTGCTCCATCGTCAGATTCGTCCGCTCCGTTTGACCGTCGCTAAGGACTACGCTTGCGGCTCTTGGGTTTGCTCCCTCTACTGCTGACCCATCGCTGTTTCTGCGCACTGACACCTCTTTGCCGCCGTTCTACATCCTCGTGTACGTCGACAACTTGGTCTTTGCCACACCTGACACTGCTGGACTCGCCCACGTGAAGTCTGAGCTGCAGAAGAGACACACGTGCACAGACCTGGGTGAACTGCGCAGCTACCTTGGCTTGCAGATCACCCGGGACAGAGCACGCCGCACCATTACCCTGACTCAGTCACACATGGTGCAGCAGGTCCTTCAGCGCTTCGGCTTCATGTACTCCTCGCCTCAGGCCACTCCTCTGCCTACTCGCCACTCGCTCTCAGCTCTGCCTTCGGATGAGTCCGTAGAGTCGAGTGGCCCGTACCCAGAGCTTGCTGGCTGCCTCATGTACCTGATGACCTGCACACAACCTGACCTTGCATACCCTCTTAGCATTCTTGCACGCTATGTTGCTCCTGGGAGACACAGACCAGAGCACATGGTTGCAGCGAAGAGGGTGTTGCGCTACTTGTGCAGTACGTCGGGCATGGGGCTAGTGCTTGGAGGGCAGAGTCTAGTGGTCCTCACTGGGCACGCGGACGCTTCTTGGGCTGACGACCAGGCTACGCAGCGGTCGTCATAGGGTTACACCTTCAGCCTTGGTTCCGGCTCTGTTTCGTGGCGGGCTACTCGCTCGTCTTCTGTTCTTGGCTCCAGTTGTGAGGCCGAGATCTACGCCGGGGCCATGGCTTCACAGGAGCTTCGCTGGCTCACCTACCTGCTGACCGACCTTGGAGAGCCACCTCGTTCTCCTCCAGTCGTGTACGTAGACAACAAGGCCATGCTGGCCTTGTGTCGAGAGCAGAGACTGGAGCACAGAACAAAGCACATTGCTCTTCGCTACTTCCTTGCTCGTGAGCTACAGCAGCGTGGTCAGTTGCGGCTTGCGTACGTGGCCTCTGAGGCCAACACTGCTGATGTTTTCACCAAGGCACTTGCGCCTTGTGATCATCAGCGCTTCTGTACTCAACTTGGTCTTGTGCCTGTCTTGCCTCACTTGCTCACTTCTTGACCTTGCTTGTAGTGTCACATATATATACACCTGCTCTTGTTTGCTTAGCCTCTTATATATATATATATGTGTGCTCCTGCGTGTGAACTGGCCTTCTGGCCTTGAACTTGTGCTCGTAATGTGTGGTGACTTTGTGATCCACCCTGAGCTTTGCTTTGCTTTGCTTGACTAGTCTTGTGACCCCTTGTTCTCCCCCACTTTGCCTATGGGGGTGTGTCAAATAATAATGTTGTCTAGGCTTTAGTGGGGTAGCCCATATGGGGTACACATTTCTAGGGTTGCATATTTGTATCACTTTCATTCCATAGTCATCTCATTCTCGTTCTAATTTCCTCAGCGTCCACTTTACGCGGGTCGATTTTAATTCCCTCGCCAGAAACCACATGCCCCAGAAATTCCAGTTCCGGCTTCAGAAACTCGCACTTAGACCCCTTCGTAATTAGCCGATGCCCCTGTAAACGCCGGAACACCTCCTCTAAATCCCACAGATGGTCCTCTTTTGTCGCGCTGTACACCAGGATGTCGTCCAGATACACGATGACCTTCTTGTCCAGCATGTCCTGGAAAATTCCGTTCATTGTGAGCTGGAATGTTGAGGGCGCGTTTGTCAGTCCGAACGACATCACCGTAAACTCGTAACTGCCGTAGCGTGTGCGAAAAGCTGTTTTCAGGTAGTCGTCGGCGAACACGCGAATTTGGTGGTAGCCTCCTCGCAGGTCGATTTTCGAGAAATACCGGGCTCCGCGAAGTTGATCCAGCAGATCGTCGGTTCGCGGGATCGGGTAACACGATTTTATTGTGACCCGATTCAGCGCCCGATAATCAATGCACATGCGTAGGCCCCCGTCCTTCTTCGGTGTGAACAGTATCGGCGTTGCATACGGCGACGTGCTTGCCCGGATAAATCCCTTGGCGAGCAGGTAATCCAGCTGGGCCCGCAACTCGGCGAGCTCTGGTTGGCTGAGCCGCCACTGTGTCCGAACAGTAGGTTGCGCGCCGGGCTCCAGCTGGATCCGATGATCCTCAGGTCGTTGGGGGGGCAAGCCATCCAGGAGGTCGTCCATGAAAATTTTGGGATATCTCCGAATAATGCTCGCCAATTCCTCGGGGACTGCTGCGCAGAGGGTGTCAATGTCCGCGATTTTCTCGAAAACTGTCACCTCGTACAGGTGCACCAAGAAGGCTTGAGCTCCGCTGTTCATCGCTCGCGCCATGTTGACCGCATTGACACGTGTCGTCACCGGCTCCGGCTCCGTCCATTTCGGAAGCGTCGTCTTCCCTCCGTATCCTCGCACGACGCACGCCCCAGTCGTCCAGTCGATCGTCATATTGAACCGCTGCAGCCAATCTCTTCCCAGTAGCACATCGCAGCTGTCCAACGTTGTCGTCAACATCTTCATGCCAAACCCGAATTTGTCGCCACACTATATCCGATTTTTTCGCGCCTCATCTCGGATGGCCAGTGGTGTCCCGTCCACCAGCCTTGCGTCAATCTCCGGCAGACACCTAGTCAGCTTCACCCCAAATTTTTTGGTCGTTGCCAGGTTGACGAGACTGTGGCTCGCCCCATCGTCAACGAATATTTTTATTTTATAACCGTTAACCCTCCCTACCACCAGCACAGGGTAGTCCACGTGTTCACCCACGTTATTCGTCCGGTTCTGGTCGATAGCTCTGATCGGTACCACGACCCGGTGTGGATGGTGATTGTCGGGCGACAGCGTCTCGACAGTAGGTGGCCCTTCTGCTACTGACTCGTATCTTTCCCAGACCCTTCTCCGTCGTTCTTCTTCCCTTGCTTAAGCCTCGGGCAGTCTTTTTCAGGTGGCCCAGCTGGTTGCATAAAAAGCACGGCCCAAGGGCTCGGCTTGGTGCATCCACGCGTTGATCTTGGGCTGTTGAGTCGATCCACGAAATCGAGGGCCCTCCCGGTAGCTCGATCTCGCCCACTGCATCAGCGCATCCGTTGACTCGGCTTCTTGGACGGCGTCGTTGAAGCTGCGTGGCCGGGTTCGTCGGACCTCATACTGTATCTCGTATTTCAGGCCCGCCACGTAGCGATCCAACCGCTCCTCATCGCTCATGTCGTCCACTTGGTTCGCCAAGTTGCAAAACATGCTGGTGTAGTCTTGGACCGAAGTCAGCTGCTTCCAGGCACGCAGCTTCATGCGAGCAGAGTCCGAGGCGGATATGTGCTCGAACCTGGTTCGCAAGGCGGCGCCCCACTCCCTCCATGTGCGTATCGTAGCCGTCCCAAAAATTGATGCTGCCTGATGCGTGACAGGTGTTGAAGTCCCGTCGTTCGCACGTGCTATTCCTGCCGAAGTCCCTTCGTGCTGCAGCGTTCGCCTCCACCACTCCAGCGCAGGTCCTCGCAACAGTGAAACTGCGAAATTAATGCGGGTGGCATCGTCATAAATCATGGCAGCATTAAAAAACACCTCCACGCCGAACAACCATGCAGAAACAATGACGAACTTGTCACTTGGGTTAAACGGGGGCGGGTTTGTCGGCTTGATTTTAACAAAAGTCGTTGCTACCATCGGGGTCGTTGGCATTGCTGCCGGCGTCGCCGTCGTCGTCGCCGCTGCACGTGTCGGTGCTGCACGCGACTGTTGCGGTGACTGTTGCTGCTGCGCCTGCCTCGCCTCGTCCGCATCCATCTCGCCTTCCAGCTCGCTCCAGACCTGCTGATCTGGTGCAGTGCTGCTACTTGCGTCGTCCACGACAGGCGACTCCTGGCGTGCTTCACCACGCGCCTGGTGTAGTTCGGCGTTTTCCTCCCGAAGACGCGCCATTTCTGCAGACATCGTCTGCATGTTGGCCTGCATCATGCAGAACTGTTGCATGAACTCGTTGAACTCCGCCTGGTCCATGTGTCACAGGCTTCGTCTAACGGGCAGGGGGTGGCTAGCGATTTTTCTGACTTCGGTGAAGGCGTTAACGCTATCGTAGTCGGAGTGGAATAATCGGATCTATTCCACGGGCCGACCGCTTAACAGCCCACCAAGTCTATCGCTCCCCTTCTACAAACTACCCCGGAAACGCGAGGGTAACCTAGGAAATTAGGCTCTGATACCAAGTGTTATGAGTTGTGAAAGGAAGAGTGCGCAGAACTCAATAATACGGAAGTGATTACAACGTCTGAGAACACAACGAGGCCTAGGACTAATATAGCGAAGCTAGCTAGGCCGAGGTCGCGGGGTCGCGAGATGGTTGGGTGCAGGTTCGGGGTTGGAAAACCCGAAGGCGACGCGGTAGTGGCTCGGAAGGCGAGGTCGGCGGACCGAGCCTGGTTTTCCGAAAGTCAGGGTTGTATGCGTACAGTGTGACCCAGTAAGGAATCCGAAAAATTCCTTACAGGTGTGCAGGTCCCAACTGGCTGAGTATGTGGGTTGATGAAACAAGGGAAGGGCTGATATTTAATTGCGATTCTATATTTTGGAGTGTATGCAATAAAAGCACAGCACCACCGACTTCTCCGAGAGTGCGCAGAAATATCGGAGAATGATGCATCATATATCTGCGCACCCTTCTTTCCTCGATAATGTCATGATTGTTCTCACACCCAAACCGCATCACCTAGCTTTTCCGAGCCTGCGACCGTTACTCCTCGTCCCTGGACCTGCATAAGCCCCAGAATGGCCATTAATTACGTGTCGCGCAGTCAGTTGTCGGGTCGCGTTCTCAGCAGCTTCAATATCACCCGCTTTGGCAATCACAACGGCCGTCATAATGTGTCTAACCATCTTTTCTGTCAAATCTCGTCTGGTAATGCGTCGATCAGGGGCTCATCGCACAGCCGATTGTCTCACAGAAACGTGTCGCACAGGGGTTTGTCGCACATCTTGTCGCATAAAGGTCTGTCGCACGGTAACCCGTCGCCTGGAGGTTTCTACGACCAGGCTCTGCGAAGCGTGTCAGCGAGGAGCCAATCAGAGGCCGGAACAGCTGCGATGAGCGCTCCGCTACTAGCAGAAGCCGAGCCGCCTCTAGAACGAGCTTTAGACCGCGCACCCGTGTATCTTAAAGACATGAGCTTCCAGCAACTAGAGGTGAGTGCGATACGCGCCTTTGAGCATGCGGGGTTGGGGGGGGGGGGAAGGGCATTTGAGAAATTTCAAAAATCTCCAGCATAATCTGGGAGAAAGAGGAGTGGGAAGGGATGGCTGGGTTGGGCCTGGAAACGCGAGAATGTCTTTTAACGGGTGTGGATTGCGATTGTGCGTGTCGTGATTATATTGCAGGACTGGGTGGCAGCGGAGTGCGGGGAGGAGCACAGGAGGCGGGCAAAGGTCCTCTGGAAGTGGCTGTATCGAGACGCCCACTGGGCTGAGAGCGTCGATGACATGGCAGGTGAGGTTGGTGACGTGTCAGGTGCAGTGATGACGTGGCTGATCAGGTTGACGATGTGGTTGCACTAGCTGCTGACAATTACTTTCTAAACCCGTTCTCCTTCCATTCCTCTCTTTTGAGACTTCAATGTGAGAATTTTCAGGGACTCTAAAAAACATCCCTACTATGACTATCCCTCCTAGAACCATTGCCCAATTTCCTGAATCCCCTAATCTGCTTGCCTGCGTGGGTCAGTTGCTCTTTCCTCCCTCACCTCTCCATTGCCTTCCCAGCGAAGCTTGAGACGTCTCATTGGCTCCTTTGCCTTCCCATTGTCATCGCTCACTCATTTTCCCGAATTCCCGAACTCGCATGTTCGCGCTGCAGGGGTCAGTCGTTCGTTTCTCTCCCTCCTCGCCTCTTCGGGTGCTCGCTTCTCCTCCCTTCGCCTCCACTCCGTTCGAACAGCCGCCGACGGTACAAAGAAGGTGAGTGGGGTTAGGGAAACCCCACAGGAACACAGTCCGCAGCTCATATTCGCCCCTGCTGCCGCTTCTCCTCCCTTCGCCTGCACTCCATTCGAATCGCAGCCGACGGCCCAAAGAAAGTGAGTGCTTTTGGGGTTATGAGCGAGTGAGTGTCACACATAGAAGGAACCACGCAGTAACGCAGTTCACTTGGAAACAGAAAGCCACTTTCGTTTCGCATACAGCTCAGCTCTTCCCTAGGAACAGGAGAACGAGAGTAGCTTTCTGCTGCATCAGTGTTTCCACGTGGCGCCGCTTGAGTGTAACAACGTGGCGCAGGGATGTAACCACGCGGCGCTTCAATGTAACCACTGGCACATGAATGAAGCTAATCAGTCAGTTTCCAAATATTTCTTCACTCCACGCAACCCACTCTTTATGCACCCCGTTCCAGGTGCTGTTTGAGTTAAGCCGCGATGCTGACTTGTCTCCTTCTGACCGCCCCAGGAGACTAGGCGTAGTGGAAACAGTGCTCATTCCCCACAGACCGGGGAAGGGGGGGGAAGGTGCGGAGGAGGAGGAAGAAGAGGAGGAGAGTGGTAGTGAGGATGAGGTAGAGGGGGTTGGTATGAACAGGACATGTGGCAATAGGGCTGGCGGGAGCAGCACCCGCAGCAGTGGGAGCAGCAGGAGAAGGAGTAAAGGGGGGCGGAACACTGTGTGCGTGTCGACTCAGCTGGGCTGTGCCATGGGCTGCCAGTTCTGCTTCACAGCCAAGTAGGTTTGTTTTTTTTGTGTGTGCACGCAGACATGCAATACAGTGTGTGAGTGTTCCTGGTCATCCCAAGAGTAAGGGTGGGAGGGATCACTGTGTGCGTGTCGACTCAGCTGGGCTGTGCCATGGGCTGCCAGTTCTGCTTCATAGCCAAGTATGCATGGGATTAGTGATTTAGATAATTTCCACTTCAAACATTCACCTGTTATGATCCCAACACACCCCTCCCCCATCGTCTCAGCAAAATCTTCTCTTATTCTTACCACAGAATGGGTCTGCAGAGAAATTTGACAGCAGGGGAGATTTTCCATCAGGTGGTTCAGATCCGCCACCTGTGGTTTCAGCACATCTATTCCTTGTCACCCCAACACACCCATTCCTTCTCCTCTCGTGCTTGCCTCACAGAATGGGCCTGCAGCGCAACCTGACAGCAGGGGAGATCGTGGCGTGGATCAGGTGGTTGAGATTCAACACTCCTGTCCCTTCAAGAGACTCCCTTGTCATATCAACCATTCGTCCCTTGTTGTCCCATCCCAACATGCTCTTCCCCTGCTCTCAGGATGGGCCTGCAGCGCAACCTGACAGCAGGGGAGATCGTGGCGTGGATCAGGTGGTTGAGATTCAACACTCCTGTCCCTTCAAGAGACTCCCTTGTCATATCAACCATTCGTCCCTTGTTGTCCCATCCCAACATGCTCTTCCCCTGCTCTCAGGATGGGCCTGCAGCGCAACCTGACAGCAGGGGAGATCGTGGCGTGGATCAGGTGGTTGAGATTCAACACTCCTGTCCCTTCAAGAGACTCCCTTGTCATATCAACCATTCGTCCCTTGTTGTCCCATCCCAACATGCTCTTCCCCTGCTCTCAGGATGGGCCTGCAGCGCAACCTGACAGCAGGGGAGATCGTTGATCAGGTGGTTGAGATTCGCCGGCTCTTCACAGAGGAAATCGGCCCCGTTACCAACCTTGTCTTCATGGTCAGTCACAAGTTACCGCACCGCAGGGTTCCGCATGGAGCCGCTCATCACAACACAGTACCACACTGAACCGCATGGCAGAGCATCCTCCCGCAGGAAGATCGTGGATCAGGTGGTTGAGATTCGCCGGCTCTTCACAGAGGAAGTCGGCCCCGTTACCAACCTTGTCTTCATGGTGGGTGGGTCACCCAGTCAGCACCGTGTAGTACCGCACAGCTTAGCACAGTACCACGCTGAAGCACATTGCACCGCACAGCCCAGCACCATGACAGCAAGGGAGGCTGTGGATCAGGTGGTTCAGATTCGCAGGCTCTTCACCAATAACTGCACCGCACTGCACTGCACTGCACCGCACTGCTCCGGACAGTACTGCTCTGAACTGCACAGCACAGCGCAACCATTCAGCAGGGGAGATTCGCCACCTCTTCACAGAGCAAGTGGGGCCCGTCAGCAGCCTCATTTTCATGGTGGGTGGGTTTTCATGCCAACACTGCAAGGTAAAACACAAACACTGCACTCCAGAGCACCGCACAGCACTGCATGCAACTGCTCAATCTCTCTTTACTCTTCCCCACTTTGCAATGCACTCCTCCCTTCCTCTCAGGGCATGGCCGAGCCCATACACAACCTCCCGACAGTCCTCACAGCGTAAACACCTTCCTGGACCCTCTGGGCGCCCACTTCTCACCAGCTCTCACTTCCCTCAGCCCTGCTCCACACCCTTGTATCCTTCCTCTCCTCTTTGCCCTGCAGCTCCTCCCTTCCTCTCAGGGTATGGGCGAGCCCCTACACAATCTACCGGCTGTCCTCACAGCATGCACCACCCTCCTCGACCCCCTCGGTGCCCACTGCTCGCCTGCTCGCACCACCGTGTCCACATGTGGGCTTGACTTCAACCCTGTTTCCCACTGCTTGCCTCTTCCACCCCTTCAGGGCATGGGCGAGCCCCTACACAATCTCCCGGCGGTTCTCACAGCATGCAACACCCTCCTGGACCCCTTAGGCGCCCACTGCTCACCTGCTCGCACCACCGTGTCCACGTGTGGGCTCGTGCCTGAAATGCACGAGTTCTGCTCTCACTCGGACGCCAGCCTCGCTCTCAGCCTGCACGCCACCACCGACGAGGTGGGCGCCTTCATTGAGGTTGGTCCAATGTCTACCCCACACCCTCTGCTCCCACCACCGTGTCCACGTGTGGGCTCACGCCTGAGATGGTGGATTTCTGCTCCCACTCGGACGCCAGCCTCGCTCTCAGCCTGCACGCCACCACCGACGAGGTGGGTACGGCCTTGTTGTTACATTGAGGTCTTCCCCTGACCCCCTTTAGGCGCCCACTGCTCCCACCACCGTGTCCACGTGTGGGCTTGTCCTGAGATGCACGATTTCTGCTCTCACTTGGGCGCTAGTCTTGCTCTCAGCCTGCACGCCACCACCGACGAGGTATGTGCTTCTTTCACTTCACTGGGTTCTGTGCCTCTTTCTGTTAGTCCCGGGCCTCCTTTAGAGGGGACTGCTTGCCTGCGCAGTGCTATAACGCCCATTAAACAGGCAGCACAACTTCAGCAGCCTCTACCCCTGAGACAATTCGTCCCCTATATCATATAGTCATAACACAATCCCTTCCACTCCCCCACGCCCACCACCCCACCATTCCCCATACCAGGTGCGCAGCAGCATCATGCCCATAAACAAGAAGCACAATCTCAGCAGCCTCTTCGCCTTCCTGAGACGCCTCTTCCCTGAATCATACCGTCCCTTACCCCTGTACTACTAACACTTCCCCTCCCCCACACCATTCCCCATACTACCAGGTGCGCAGCGCTATAATGCCAACCAACAAAAGCCACAATCGCAGCAGTTTCTTTGCCTGCCTGAGACGCCTCTTCCCTGAATCATACCCTCCCTTACCCCTGTACCACTAACACCCTCCCCCCCCCCACACCATTCCCCAAACTACCAGGTGCGCAGCAGCATCATGCCCATAAACAAAAAGCACAACCTCAGCGCCCTCTTTGCCTGCCTGATACAGCTCTTCCCTGACCCAACAGCCCGGCCAGCACCGGATGCGGGGGAGGGAGGTGATGGGAGGGATGGTGCGGGGTTGCAGCAGCAGTCCAAAAAACGCCATGTGTTCATCGAGTACCTGATGCTGGATGGGGTCAACGACAGGTACGTATGAGTGCCCCTTGCGACCAGTACTTGTCAGTGTGGGCTCAAGTACCAGTAGCCATGTGTGTGCTCATCGAGTACCTGATGCTGGATGGGGTCAACGACAGGTACGTTCTAGTTCCCCTTGCGACACAAAGGAGGGTGTGGGTCACACAGTGTGGGGCTAATGCAGCAGTCTAGGAAAAGACATGTGTTCATCGAGTACCTGATGCTGGATGGGGTCAACGACAGGTATGCTGCACAGAAGCTGGGTGCTGTTTGTGCTTCCCTCCCTGTGTTTCTCCCAGTAGCCAAGCAAGCGCCATGTGTTCATCGAGTACCTGATGCTGGATGGGGTCAACGACAGGGACGGGTACAGATAGGATCTATAACTGTGCCCTGATGCTGCTTTGACCCTTAGGTGGGCTCCTGAAAGGTTCGTCATGCCCTTGCACCCGGACGGTGTCATGGGAAGCACCATGTATGTACTCATGGAGTACCTGATGCTGGATGGGGTCAACGACAGGTATGCTGGATGGGGTCAACGACAGGTATGCAGTAGTCGCGTAAACAACATGCATGAAGGGGACTCAAAAGTCCACCACCATCAGCGTGTGTTCATCAAGTACCCGATGCTGGATGGGGTCAACGACAGGAATGCATGCAGGGTCAACGACAGGTATGCATGCAGGGTCAACGACAGGTATGCATGCAGGGTCAATGACAGGTATGCATGCAGGGTCAACGACAGGTATGCATGCAGGGTATGCATGCAGGGTCAACGACAGGTATGCATGCAGTAACCCTTACATCACACCTGCACGTGTGCTGTTCCACGCGTGGTGTTATGAGAACCCCCTTGCTATTCAAAGGAAGCGCCATGTGTTCATTGAGTACCTGATGCTGGATAGGGTCAACGACATCTATGCTGTATTTGTTTTTCTTCTTTTTCCAGTTTGGTGTCTGCTGGTAACCCTGAAAGCAGTCTTTACATGCACGGCCAACCTGACTGTCTTCAATCCCTATGCTTCATTTTCCACTTTCGTTCTTTCCCCACCCCACCCACCCCCTTCCCCCCTCCCTTTCCGGTTTGGTGTCTGCTGGTAACCCTGAAAGCAGTCTTCACACGCACGACCAACCTGACTTTTTTCAATCCCTATTCTTCAATTTCCACTTCCGTTCTTTCCCCACCCGACCCACCCCCTTCCCCCCTCCCTTTTCCAGTTTGGAGGATGCACGTCGGCTGGTAACCCTAACAGCTGGCATCGCCTGCAAAATCAACTTGATAGTCTTCAACCCACACCCGGGAACCGCACTGCAACCATCCCCACTCCCGCGCGTGCTGGCTTTCCAGCATGAGCTCGTGCAAGGGGGCAGAAAAGCGTATCTGCGGCACAGCCGGGGGGACGACGAGATGGCAGCTTGTGGGCAGCTGGGGCAGGTGCCTAGGTTAACAGGGCAGAACAAGGCAGAGGCGGAAGCTGTAGTGTAAAATTGTTCCTTAGCTGTTCAAGAGAGGGCAGCGCCGAAAGGCTTATGTGCGGCACAGCTGGGGGGACGATGAGATGGCAGCCTGTGGGCAGCTGGGGCAGGTTGCAGGTACCACGGCTTACGAGAGAACAGAACAAGTCAGAGATGGCAGCTTTAGCATAGAGTGGCAGCAGAGACGGCAGCCGAGGGGACGATGAGATGGCGGCCTGTGGGCAGCTGGGGCAGGTGCCGAGACTTATCGAGAAGGACATAGCAGCAGCTGTGGCGTAGAGTCGTGGTTGGCTGTCACGAGTGCCGTACATGGGGAGGTGGATGAAAGGCGTATCTGCAGCACAGCCGGGGGGACGATGAGATGGCAGCGTGTGGGCTGCTGGGGCAGGTGCCGATACTAACCGAGAAGGACAGAGCAGCCTGTCGTGTGGTATGGGGTTGTTGACTTGCTGCCAAGACGACTCAACATCAGCCTCATTATGTGTTCAACTCCACCCCCACCTGAGATCAGCTGAAAGCTCAACCGCCTATGTGATTGTGTTCGCCGTTCTGGCTTTCCAGCATGAACCCATTATTGATTAAACAAGGGCACAAGAAATATGCCCGGCTTCTGTGAAGTGTTTGTGTATTGTGATTCTTAGAAAATGGAATATAAGGACCAAAGCTGTTGAGGAAAGGTCAACAAGCAAACAGCCAGCCAGGAAAAAGCAGTCAAAACTACAAACACTTTCACCAAGAGCCTGGAAATAAAATGCATCAAGCATAATGAATGACAGGCTGACAGCCATCGGATCAGAGAGCCCTGAGACACAGCCCTGGCCACACATCACCTCACTCCACCCCTTGAGATTCAAATCGCCTTCCTCATCCAACCCCTCTCCTCTTTTGAGGAGCCTCAAATGCAGCCCTGACCTTGCCTTAGCCCTCCCGCCAGATCCTCCACCCCCATCACCATCATATGATATCGCCTTTCTCATCCGCTCGAAATCCACAAGGTTCCGTGAGCTCCCCCCTCGAACGCCTCGTAGCTCCCACTGCCTCTGCTCACGCGCACACTAACCCCCACTCCTCCTCCGCCTCCTCTGCGACTCTCCCCTCACCTCCCCCGCTCGAAATCGACCCGGTTCCGCGAGCTTCCCCCCTCGTAAGCCTCGTAGCTCCCTTCGCCACCGCTGCGTAAAAAACTGATCCAGCCCGAACGGATCCGCTCCGGCCCCCTTCAACAGCTGTCACTCCCGTTCAAACCCCACCAGCCAGTCCCACGGCCCTCCTCCTTCCCCTTATCCCTCCTCCCCCCTTCCCCCGAGATCCCCTCCTCACCTACCCCGCTCGAAATCAACCCGGTTTCGCGAGCTTCCCCCCTCGTAAGCCTCGTAGCTCCCCCCGCCTCCGCTCGCGCGCATGGTTCCGCCCGCGCCCACCTTATCCAGCGCCTTTTTCCCCGTCTTCACCTGCGTCAAGAACTGATCCAACCCGAACGGATCCGCCTCAACCGCCGCGTCGCGCTCGAACTCTACCGGGCCGTCGCGCGGCGCCCCGCCGCCGCCGCCCGCTCCCCGCTCCGCCGCGCCCGCGAAGCCCTTATCCGGCTTGAATCGCTCCGTGCGCAGCAGCGCGTCCGCTCCGCCGCCCTCTTCCCCGCCGCCCCTCCCCGCGTACACCTCCTCATCCACCCCCTTGCGCACCTTATACAGCCCGCTCGCGCCCTCGCGGTTAAACAACCCCTTGTCGTAGATATTATACGTGTCGTCCGCGGCAAAACCGGACTCCATACCCTGCTCCTGGTTGAAAAGCCGCTGGTCGTACATAATCTCCCCGCCGCCGCCAGCGCCGCCCACGTTCGCGAGCCCAAGCGCCATCTTCTCGCTGATATCGCGGTCGCGGTCGCGCGTGAGTTTGCTTTTCTTTCCGCCCGCGCCTTCCTTCGCCTCGAGCCGCCGCTCCCGCTCCCGCTCCCTCCGCCGCTCCTCCCGCAGCGCCTCCCGCCGCATCCGCTCCTCGCGCTCCTCCCGCGTCTCCCCGCGCCGGGGCTCGTCCCCTTCCGCCCGCCCGTACCCGCCGTCCGCTCCGCCTGCTGCAGCCTCACGGGAAGCCAGTGCGCCTCCGCCAGCCCCTCCGCCTCCGCCTCCGCCGGTGCCTCCGCCTGCGCGCTCCATGCGCGCCTTTTGCGCCAGCAGGCGGAGCTCCTGCTCCTTCTTCTCCTTCTCCAGCAGCATCCTCTCCCGCTGAATCTTCGACCGCATCTCCACCTCCTCGCGCGCCTTATTCTCCGCGACGTACAGCGACTCGGACAGGCGGGCAAAGTTGTCGTTAATCTGCACTTCCTGCAGCCCGCGACCGTCCGCCGCGAGACGCTTATCCAACGGAATAGTATACCCCTTAGGATTCTTCCAGTTGGAAATGCAAGGAGGAATCTTCCAGTCCTGCTGATCCTTTACCGTAACCGGTCGAGGCGGGGAGTGCATTACCGGGACCGGCGGCGAGCCGGACGCTTTCGGAACGCGCTTATGCTTGAACTTAGGAGGGTCCAGCGGATCGACCGGCATCTCGACCATGCGAATAACGCGCTCCTTCGCGCCGGAATTATGAGCAGAATTCTGCATACCGGGAGTGTATTTAATGTATTGCGGGGTCTTGGAAATACCGGGGACGTTCTTTGGCTGAGCCGCGCTGAGCCGAGCCGTGACGATCTTATCTATGGCTGCCTTGGTTCGCTCCGCGGTTTCCTTCATCTCATCCTCGTCCTCTTCGTCCCGAAGCGCTTCCAAATCCTCGTCCTGGATCTTCGGGATTAGATCCTTGTGCTGGCTGTACACCACCTTCTGCGAATTTTCTCCGAGCTTCACTATAGCGTCGTACGCGATATTGCCTTCCCCGTCTACAGTCACAGGAAGCACCTTGTTGGTAACCTTCTCCTGCTTCCGTCCCATTTCCAACGGATACTGCGCCACGTGGATCTCTGGGAACGCGCCGCCATCGCCGAAGTCCTCGACGCGCCGTGGGACAAAACCTTGCCTCTTGCCGTAAGGGGGTATTTGGCGCTTAGGGACAATCTTACCCCCTGCTGCTGCTCCGCCAACTGCAGCATCTGGATCTCTGTCACGATTCGCGAACCAGGCGTCCGAGGAAGCGTCGTAGACGCTCTTGTTCTTAGGCGCAGGGAGCTGACTCAGGAACTTGAAAGCTGACGTGGACGCCATGTCTCTACACCTGTGAATCAGCTCTTCCCACTGGCTGGTTCAGGAAGACAAAGCCACAGGTAGAAACGAAAGAAACGAAGCAGGCTATCAAGACCGCAGGAATCGCAGCACTTGTTCTCCCCACCCAGCACTTCCGCACCCAGTCAGTTCAGCAGACGCCTACCTTCTCACCTGGAGGAAAAGCCTAGGGGACTCCACCTTCAAGAAAAGCTGGTATCCTGTATCCCAGCTCCTTTGAGGTGTGCGAAGCAGAAAGAATGGCGGAGGAGAGAGCTAGGGTTCCGAAAATGGAGTTGCTGCCGAACATGACACTTTTGGGTTAGGTTGGGCGAAATCCGGTTTAGATGGTTCGGGATGCTCTCTTGCGGTGAATCTGAGGGTGGTTGAGGCTATTCCTAGTTCAGGAGGGAAGACACGAACCGTGCGATTGATTGGGTCAAATCCAGTGGTTGTTTGAGGTGGTTGGTGGTGTGAAAGAGGTTGGTTGTGTTGCAGGATGAGTGAACTGCGATGATTGACGAAAACGGTCGTTCGTTCGCTATCACTGAGTTACTGTAACTTCCTATCCCAGCATTTGTCGTCAGATGTCTGCCTTGCCTGTCAGCGATTCCCGCCTCCAGACCATCTCTAGGCCCCTGAATTTTGCCACTGGCTAGCAGTGAAAACCACGCAGTAGCGCGGGCTTCTCCAGGCTTGCGCAGGCACCCGCTTTCAGCTCCGCTGACCTTTCCGCCAGCGGCATCTCTGCTGGATTCCCGAGTCCTCCCCATGCTCCCCACCCACCCCCTGATTGTGCAAGGACGAATTCTGTACACAAATTGGGACATCACCGAAACAGCACGAACCCAACCGTCCGTTCTCTATGTCGAACCCAAGCAAAACTGTTGCTGATTCTGAAACATAAACTGAGCATTTTCATGTGAACGGTCATGATTTCATTGCTCAGTTCTGGGGGAAATCAGATATCGAGGAATCGGCATTTTGTTTCATAAGAGCATTTGTATTTTGTAATAAACTCGCCGTCTATTACGCTTTAGGATAGCAATAGGCGCTTCGACTCTGTTGGCCTTTCCGCGTCTCGCATCTCTGTTGGCCGTCTATTACGTAACTCCGTCGTGTGCGAGTAAAGCACAGAGGTAAAAGCTACGACCTCTTCATATTCTTCCAGAAGCCGAGATCGCTTGGTCAATCATGAGCTATGCATTCCAGTTCCATGCTTGTTTGCATTATCGCGAAGGCTCGTAAAATCCGATCATCTTCCCCAATCACCCACCTCGTCGACTCCCTATTAATCTCTGTTCCCTGATCTCATTCCACTCGCCTCGGATCGCCAGATGTCGAGGCCTTATTGGCTCGTGTCTCTACCGCTGCACGGATCTAAGGAGAGCACGTGGGGTGCACTACAGGACAACATCAACAGATCTCTGTCCGACCTTCCCTATTATAAGGTAGCCAGCTCAGACCTCTATGTCGGCGGAACATCGGCATCTTTCGGCCCTTAAAGATGACAGTTTTTTTTTTTTTTTTTTTTTTTTTTTTTTTTTTTTTTTTTTGTATTTCCTTCTGTATACTGCGAAACCAGATGTCTCGATCGAGCAATGTCAGTTTAGAAAACATTCGTGGTTTCGGTTTTCCATATCAAGCTCAGTAGAAACCGTTTCTCCAGACGGCAGCTATCGTTCAGAGTTTCTGGAATAAAAAGGCAATCATGGCAAACGTCTGGTCGCAACCACTGCATTTACGAATAGCCGCATCTTTATTCAGATTTTTATTGGAACATGCGTTTCGGCTAGCCGCATCCTGATCCGCA